AGAAATTTCTATGCAGGGTTGAGATACCTCTTGTTACTATCTTCTCTTTTCAAACTTCACCTTAGCTTTAATACTATATATTGCATAATTTAAACAAATGTTCCTGTAATTCACCAATTATCATCTTAGTGATGTTATATTCTAAAGGAATGTATTAATGACATTTTTGTGGCATTTTTATTTTTGAGGCTGAATAAAAAAAAATACAATTTTTGTTTAAAAAATCAAACTAAAATTTTAAAAGAATTTTCATTCACTTTTGATCACTGTTGGTGAGACTCTACAAAGTCAAAACTTTTCTGACAATTAAAAGAATCATGTATGCATGAACAAATCAATACAAGAATTGTTTTTAAAATAATGAATTTAAACAAAAGCACTATGAAAATATAATCAACACAAATTTATTTTGAGTTTTCACCATTTTTACATGGAAAAAACACACACAAACATAGTTCACAGCCATTTTGAATCTCAAATTTATTAGAAGATTAAAATATTTCAATAAAGCCATCAAATCACATTTAAAGCTATTTATTTCCATGTAAGAACCATACGTAGTTTCTGTATGCATTATTGCTACCAAATACAATTCAGCTTAATTCAAGCACAATCATATTTTTTTATTTGTTTTTTATTTGTTATTAGTTAAAATGAAAAGCACTTAAAACAACCCAAGAAAAAAAGACATATTCTCATGAGCATTAAAACATTTCAGTTTCCATCATTCAACATATTAAGGATTAACAAGAAGATCGATTCTATTTCAAGGATTAAAAACATTGAACAATAAAAGCACCAAACTGAATCGATCAAAAATGAAACAAATCGGAATTAAAAAGGTGACTTCTCATTTCTGCGTTATTGCAAGAATTTGCCAAATTTTAGCCTAAAAAGGAGTAAAATTAGTTAAAAGAACTGAAAAAATTAGACATTGCACTCTGTAAAGTTCTATAACTTTTTTTTTAAACATGGGATAAAATAAATGCCATCTTCATCAGTCATAGAAACCATTAACTTT